ACCTTGCTTGGTGTTCGGTTAATAAAGGTTGTCCTCTGAAATGGGGTTTGTTTTACTTTAAATATAGTAGTACCTCTATTAAGTGGACACCTTCCTAACTTTGCCTGGAGTTGGTTTAATAAAGGGTGTCCTCTGAGTTGGGGTTTGTTTCACTATAAACATAGTAGTACCTCTATTAAGTGGACATCTTCATAACCTCGCCCGGTATACGGTTAATAAAGGTTTGTTTTACTGGAGATATAGGAAAAAAATTATGTGAGCATGCAACTAGCAGTCTGTTTAAAATAGAGGTATATAAAACGCGCGCGCATGCCTCTGTACATGGAAAGTTTAAAGGTAAGAAAAAAAACCACATAGAACTATTATTAGCTTAGATTATGTAAATAAAACAATAATATCAAAAATAATTAATGAAATAAATGTAATATACAAAAAAAAGTATATAAAAACTAGACTAAAACTCAGTAGAAAGATTATGAAATAAAGAAACAGATGAATAGAAATATTAGAAGTAAATCTTAATGCCAAACGCACCTTGATCTTAAAGGCTGGTTCATTCAGGCATCGTCTTCAGACTCAACTTAATGCGAAACTAGCTAGTTTGCTTCGGTGATTGTAATCTTATTTTGGGCTTCCTGTTTCGGTTAGTGAAACTGGTACCAGTTGGGCTACCTGTGGTTAGGATCAAAATGGCTGCCATCCTGTATCGAAAGGTTGCCTTGCAAAGATTGTTAAATGTCACGGCATCTTGCTCCAAGAATAGACAATATATTTTAAGAGGGTGTACAACATTTTTCTTTCGTTGTYATACTCAAGAAAAAACAGCTATAAACGACAGAACGTTATTTCTTCGAGCAAGAGAATTCCAAGATCGAACCGCCATCATCGACAAAAATTATGGAGAATCGTCTTACAAACAACTATTGCAGTTAAGCGGTGTTCTAAGCCAAAAAATCTCCGAAACATGCTCAAAGAAAGGAGAGAAAGACTTAAACGGCAAGAGAATAGCGTTCTTGTGCTCGAGAGATTTAAGTTATGTTGCTGTTCAATGGGCAATATGGCGAAGTGGAGGTATAGCTGTGCCCTTATCCCCGTCATATCCTACAAATATGATGGAGTATTTCATTGAAGACTCGGATTCTTTATTACTAGTTACAACGCAGGAATATTCTCATAAAATTAAACCCCTCGTAGAAAAGAAAGGAATAGCACATTTAGAAATGTCAGATGATGAAAGAACAGAGCTCAATGAGAAAGGTTTGCATCCCACTTCAACAGAAATGGAAGTGAATGACTGGGATGATAAAGAAGCCATGATATTTTATACTAGTGGAACTACTGGGAAACCCAAGGGAGTATTAATAACACACGGGAATATCAGGTATATTTCATGCTTTAGAGGACATCACAGGAAAAAAAAAACCAGATCCTCAAATTGGGAATAGTTGGGAATTTCCTTGAATTCCCAATTTGAACACCAACATTGGGATTTATTGTTGGGAATTCCCTTCTATTACCCAATAGAAAAACAAAATTCCCAACAAACTAACATTGGGAATCAGTGCCACGCTCCCAATTTCGTTCTCTCTGGGAATTGGATGGGAATTCATTGGGAATTCAAGGAAATTCCCAACAAATTCCCAATTTGGGAATCCGTTTTTTTTCCTGTGATATTTCCAAGATGGCTGCTATTTTGTCCCCCAAAAGATACCCACAATGAACTCTAGTGCAAACTTGAGCAAGTTTTTTCCCCAACCCCTGGATGGCTAATAGATTGAGAGTTCTTATGTCTTCAATTATTATTGCATACCCCATAACCATAATGGAGACAATCTATTGTGATAAATGCTGTTGGTGTTAGACTTGTGCTCATTCATTCATCCATCCATACATTCATCCGTTCATTCATCCTCTATCCAACCATCACTCGACTTGTCCATCTATTCATTTATCCATCCATCTATCCTACCACTGATCCATTCATAGATATATCCATTAATTCCTTCATTCATTTGTTTATCCATCCATCCATCTATTTATCCATTCATCAATCCATTCATTCATCTATTCATGCATTTATCCATTCATCCATCCACCCTGCAGTCAAAATTATTTTGACTCCAGGGTCATGCATTTGTAATGACATTTATTTACTTTACCATATTTTAAATTATCTAATAATATAATATTAGAGCCCAGATCTGTGGTATGATAACAGCCTGGGGCTGGACAGGGAATGATCGTATACTGCATGTCCTACCTCTCCATCATGTACATGGCGTCATCAATGTCTTATCTTGCTCATTATGGGTGGGGGCTACTTGCGTTATGCTGCAAAAGTTTGACCCTAAAAAGGTAGGAGTTGAAATATTTCATATAGTTAAAACAATATTATTTGCCGAAGACAAAGTGAATATCAGGGGATACATGTATTTACTAAGCCACAAGTCTTTGAGTGGTGAGGTAAATATTCCCCATATGTACTGAGCCTGAGGTGAATAATTGTTTGTAATGTTTTAGACTTGAATATCAGAGAAAACACCAATTAGCCAGTCAAAAATGTAATCAGCGCAAGGGTTATATATCTTAAATATTTCATATTTATAGTGAAGGGAGTGTGGAAAAAGCTAAATGTAGAAAGAAAAAAACTTATGTAGTTTTCAATACATTTTTCTAACACTTCGTTGCAAAGATTTCTAGGCACATGTGAATGAACAATTATGCTCCATTCACAAATGCAGCAAAGCTCTGGACCATTCAGAGCCAATGACATACTATCTAAGCTATATAATATACAACAGATCGAAATGTCAAAATTACCCATATTTGTACAATTAGGTGTGGCAGTATCTCACTGGCTCTAGCCCTCAGTTGTCTTTGTTTATGGCTGTACCAACTATCTATGCAAAACTAATTGAGCATTACAGTGACTGCAAACACAACCAAGAGATGAAAGACCACATTAGAACAATGTGTTCAAACATAAGGTAAGACAATGCATCTTCCAATGCTAAGCCAGGGGCTACACGTCTGAAAGTTTTGTCATCAGGATGAAACTGCTATACAGATAGTGATTTTGACAATGTTGCCCAGATTTGACTAGCTGCATTCCCCAGATTGAGAATTTTACGTGCATATCATTTGAAAAGTAAGACTATTAGAGACCACTTGAAAAAGTCTTTTTAGGATGGAAATTTGACTACTCCCTTCCATAAAATATTCACCCCACTCCCCATCTGGAAGTTCAACATTGATAGACGGTAGCCTGTGTCACATCCGGACTTTTTTGTCGACAAAAAAGTCAAAGTCCAAATGTGACGCAGGCTAAATAAACGAGATGTATTAATTTATTAATTATATGCTGTGTTGTTACTAGTTATAATATAAGTAGCCCTTCTAGCTAAACCTCAGTGCTGAGAGGGAGAATTACTTCATTATTGAATATTGATCAATAGGGATGACATATAGTGAAGTAAATTACATGTCTGAATCATGTTTTATATGCTGTTGATTAGGTTGATGGTCAGTGGTTCCAGTGCGCTTCCACAGCCCACAATGAAAGAATGGTATGAAATATCTGGTGAGTCAGTGAAAACAGTTTATCTTTTCTTTTTTTCATGCATCATACATTTATTTGATTCATTTTTTTAATATATTAATCTTCTTATCACAAAAAGTAACACATTTTTGTTTGTGGGTTCGTATGTTTGTTCATTCGTCCGTCAATCTGTCCATCTGACCGTCTGCATGTGTGTGCTTGTCTGTCCCTCTTGTGTTTGTCCATCCATCCATGTCTGTCTGTCTGTCCACCCTTCTTTCCAATAGTCTGTCCAAGAGTGCATCTGTCAATCTTTCTATTCTTCTATCTGTCTATGCATGGTTCGTATTTGCATACATTCTACATCAGTCTTCTCGTAGCCATATAAGAACATGCGTAATAGGTAAATTACGAGCCTTGTATGAAATGACTGAAGAAGAGTGCCAATGGGCCTTCCACAACTTCAAGTCGCGTAAAAAATGAGCCAGCTCAACTAGAAACTGTGGACAGCTGTTTTGGCCTGTATTTGGCCTCGTCTGCACAGTGTATCTAGTGAGCTGGTAGGATCCCATGAAAAGGGGTACATGAGAGATGAGGCGATAAGTCATGATGTGGGATAGGCTCGGAAATCATATAACAACATGCATAATAGGTAAATTATGAGGCTTATCGCCTCTTCTCTAAGACAGCCATGTTGATTCTTATGAGAATAAAGATTTTTTAAAGCAATTGCATGCCAGATTTAAAGAGAATTTTTTAAAAATTTCTATCCAACATGGCAGCAGACTGATATTCATTTCCACTGATTTTCAACTTGACGCAATACAGGTCATTTACTACTGGAGCGTTATGGAATGACAGAAATAGGCATGGCATTATCAAATCCTTTGCATGGACCAAGATTACCAGTATGTATTTGTCCAATGTACAGCTGACAGTGTCAACATTTTCAGATTTCTCATGTGCAAGCCTTTACAGATTGTATTTACATGTTCTGTTATATTTAGGGAAGTGTCGGAACTCCATTACCAGGTGTTGAAGTACGTATTGTAGCAAAAGATGATCAAGGCAAAGAACTTGATAATCAGGTAGGTGAAAAAAAAGAGAAAGTTAGCCTGTGTAGTGGCCCATAAACCCCCTAACCTCTCCCCCTTGGGCCGTTGTGCAGGCTAAAAGAAGTTCAGAAGCAGGAACACAGTTTGTCAGTTCTGTAGAGTTTTTTCTCCAGTTATTTTCTTGTACCACCAAAAAAAAAAGAAGAAAAAAAACGATTTTATGACTTTGAAAACACGGTGACCACATTAATGCAGAAATCATGACCAAAAAATGTCCCCAAAAATGCATTTTCACAATTTTAAAGCCTATGGCCCAGACTCAATTCAGTTGACCCAATTGCAAGCAGTTTAATGTATTATTTTAATGTTTATATATATTATTAATTAATATCATCGAATTACCCAACTTTTCTAAAAAACACTATTTTTTCCAAGGTCATAGTAGAAGGTGATGAACAGGGTTCTCAACTCCATCAACCAGAATTAGAATCATACAGAGGTGCACTACAAGTTTGTGGCCCATCAGTTTTCAAAAGGTAAATCCATGGATTTTAATTGATTTTGAAACCATGAAATACAAGAAAATATACCTTGCCTCACCGTGCCTCGCCTCACCTTGTAGGACTCACCTTGCCTTACCTCACTTTGCGCCGCCCCACCTCATCCAACCTTGTCTCCCCTCACTTAGCTCCACATCACCGCTCACCTCCCCTAGCCTCTCCTCCTCTCACCTTGCCAAGCCTCGCCTCATCTCGACTCTTCTCACCTTGCCTCACCYCAACTCACCTCAACTGAGCTTGCTTCACCTCGCCTTATAGTAACTCGTGTCACCTTGCCTTATAGTAACTCGTGTCACCTTGCCTTGCCTCGCCTCGCCTCACATTGCCTAGCCTTGCCTCACCTCAACTCAACTCACCTGCCCTGCTTCACCTCTCGTTGCATTACCTGACCTGACCTCATCTCACCTCAACTCACCTACCTCAACTCAACTCACCCTCCCAACTTCCTTGACCTCACCTCACCTCGCCTCTCCTTCCCTTTTTGTTTTTTCTTTCTCCTTATTATTCTTCCCATTCAATTTATCTTTTTTTCTTTTTTAATGAAGTTACTGGAGAAAACCCTTAGCCACTAAAGAATCATTTTCAAAAGATCACTGGTTCAGAACAGGCGATGATGCAGGTAAGATATATCAAGCAGTTGGAAGAGGGAAATACCCATGAGTATGCAGGGAATGACACATACTAATATCAACCTTATATACGATTAATTCCGCAGAGTACAAAGACGGGATTTACAAAATATTGGGCCGGTCTTCTGTGGATATCATCAAAAGCGGTGGATACAAAATCAGGTATAACAAAATATCACAAATTGATCTACGAATTCCCTTGTTATTCATGCTTACAGTAGTCTACGCGCTAATATTTTTCATGATATTCGAAATCAGTGACAGGTGAAACAAGTCGATCTCTCGCGACTTTGTTTGCTCGCTTCGCCCTCTCTCGCAGAGAGGTCGACTTGGAGCAAATCTAACATCTTGTTTGTCGAACTGATCGTAGGAGGAACTCTATGTCTTCTACTTACTTGTCTTTTGACGCAGTTATGCATCTAGATTGTGAATTAGAATATTTCCAGAAATGTAAAATTTTTTTTTGCTTTCTGATTGGTCGAGAGCCGTGGTAAATAACAGGACATATTACATCAATCATTTCCAGCGCCCGCATTAAAAAAAACGACTAGGCTTCGTGAGTACATAACATTTTGACCAACTTTTGACGTCATACCGTGGTAAATAAGAGACATACCGCGCAAAACCATCGGAAATTTGTTAAACCTAACTGTACGATACAAAAGAATATTACACATTCTGACTAAAGCTTTTCTTGTGCTACCAAGTGCTTTAGACGTCGAACGTGAACTACTTGCTCATCCAAGCATCAAAGATTGTGCAGTTGTTGGGGTGCCAGATCCCACATGGGGCGAAAGAGTAGCTGCGATTGTGTCCCTCCACTCTAATAAGGTAGTTTATTAATGTGCATGGTGCGATATTCATATGAAGAGAGTCTAGATACAGGATTGCTATGACCGGGAATGAATACCACAAATAGTCACGTCTGTTATGTTAAACGCAAATAATCTCACTATCGACCACGTGATGCCAATGTTGTACCGCTTGAACAAATTTTCTTTACACCACGTGATTGAGATGCAGTCAAATTTTTATCACGTCGCGTAAAAACGTCTCAACGTGGTACAACATTGGCATCACGAGGTCGATTTGAAATGCGCTTGTGGATACCATAACAGACGCTACGAAGGCAGAGGTAGATCCACTAGTATCCCAGAATGCATTGCGAGTGAGATATAACGCTTTTCTATTCAAACAGCAAAAATTAATATTTTCGAAATTGAAATTGAATCTGGATATCCCAATTCGATCTTTGGAGCTTATATATATACGCTGTGATATAACAGCCAAAGCTTTTAGAAAAGGACAGATTTTTTCCTTTTTTTTAAGAGGAAAACGTCATCCATGAGGAAAACTACGACCATTAAATCATCTCATCCATTTTTCTTCCATTTTTCTCTCATTTATTTTCTGTTATTTCCTTCTTTCGACTCACAGAACCTCACTTTGCAAGAACTGCGTGAATGGGCTTCAGATCGACTCAGTGAATACCAAAACCCTTCTGTATTACAAATTACTGATGACCTTCCAAGGAACACCATGGGAAAAGTGAACAAAAAAGAACTGATCAAGATATTTTTTGGGGAGTAACTTCGTGTACCGGAATTGTCAGGGGAATGCTATTCAAATTCAAATTTCGAATGCAAATTCATTCGGCTAGTAGTCGTGTCTCACTAGTAGTCGTGTCTTAGCATACAACTAATTGAAAAAACGTCTTCTGGTTCAAAAAAAGGTTATAAAAGCATCAAAGCTAATACCGAAGGTGAGCATGGGAAGACAAACGATTATGCTAATTTCATGCGTATTGCAGTTTTCCCTTCCCGTGCACATTTTATGCATCATGGCTTTGGCAGTTGTTAATCTAGGTCGACAGACTTTGCTCTACTGTGCATTTTTACATGTCTATATGCAAATATAATACACATTTCGGTGTATATGAATGAATGAATGAATGACTTTATTTATACACACGCATTACAAGAGAAATAACATATATGAATAGCTAGAATTATAAATAGAAACAAGCATTTTACAGTAAGTATTTACAAATATAGTGTAGATAAGGTGTATGTGGTTTCTGAATTAGTGTAAACTTTCAAGTCAGCAACCACAATGTATTATACTATAATAAATATTTTATTGCATACACCAATGAGCATCGTTTTAAATATGACCAAAAAAATGGAGAACAGCCAAGCGAATTAACCCTGAGATAGGTAATGTAATATTAGTTGGTGCCAAGGGTGCCAGGTTCCAATCTTGTATGCAATTGAATTTTTTTTCCAAGTGAGAACCAAAATGCTCGAAAAATTTCAGTCCCACTCGTGTGTGTTAGGGAACCTATGACGCATTTGGCTAACCCGTACACTAAGTTACCACACTCTTTTACTGATTCAAAAGCTTAAGCTTAGGGCGATGCGGTCGTTCCGCTGTGTAATTAAAGTGCTCTCTTAGCTGTCAATATGATTTGATAATCGGAGCAGACAAGAAGACGGTAAAAGAGGCCGTTCTTGCTTACCTTCCTATATATCACATAGGTGGGGACTGTGGAAGAGTCTTGACCCCGAAGCTCTTCATTCGAATCATGCAAATGTTTGTCGAACCACGCTATAGAATATAACGTTGACCCTCATGATTGTCCAAGCGCGTTATTGATTGTCAATGATTATGCTAATAGCACTAATGAATTTTCACTTTTGGGTAAATGATTGTCCATAAATGCAATTGTATGTCTTTTGGTGTTATTGAAGTTGAATGTCGCGCACAAGAAAATACATTCCGCGCATATGAATGTACAAACGCGCTATTGATTGTCCATTGATGCCTATGAATGTACACGCATATTCAATTATCGTTATTGAAAGTTGATCCGCGCTAATGATGTTACTTGTGGTGTTGATGAAAGTACATTACACGTTATTGATACAACTATTGGCACAAATGAATGTACATTTTCTGTTAATGAACGGCAAAAGGTGTACTTACTCAGGCATTAACCGAACAAAGACGCCTAGAGGCATTTGCTTTTGTCTCCAATGTTCTGCTCCAGGCCAAAAGTTGCCCAATCTTTCGTTTAGAAACACCTCGTTTTTGTTTTACTGCTGCAAAACTTGAAACATGCTTTCCTCAAGACATTTTTCATCTGTTTCTTTACTTAAAACCCTTGAGCTCAGTCGCACATTAGGGAAATCTATTCGAGTTGTTATTGGAATACCGCAATTCAGTTGTCGATTGTTGAGCATACCATGTGAAGCTACTAGTAAGAATACTCTCGTTAAAGCAATAATCGGTGACAACAATCGCTGTGTTCACTGGCAAAATGGCGATGCTCGATTCCATCGTGTGTGGCTTCGTCACCACTGTCCGTGTCCCGCTTGTATAAATCCAAATACGCGGCAGAGAACTATCGACATGGTGGACATTCCCGAACACGTTCGTCCAAAACAAGTCGACGTTGCTTTAGATACGTTACGCATCACTTGGGAGGACGGACATGACTCTTGCTTTCATGGATATTGGTTGAAAGAGAATGCATACGATGGCTATTCGAGAGAAGAGGTAAAGAAAGGTTATGGATGCATAGCGCACGAATCTGAAATGCTTCTTTGGAACAAGAAAGTAATCTCTATCAACCCACCTCCAGAATTCAACTACAAAGAGCTTCAAGAAAATSATACTATTGTCAGTGAATCATTAGATGGTCTTTTTCGATATGGCTTTATCTTTGTCAACGAAACCCCAACAGATGAGGAATGGTTGCAAATGTTTGCAAACGAATAGGCGGTGTTGTCCAAGAGACGCTGTACGGTCGAGTATATGCAGTGGAGAACAAAGAATTGATACATTCTGATCTTTCGTATATGGCATATGCTCTCCAGGGTCATACAGACCAGACGTACTTCGCTGCGCCTCCAGGGTTACAAGCAATGCACTGTTCATACCATGATGGGACTGGGGGAATGAGTCTTCTAGTCGATGGGTTTATGGCAGCAAAAACCCTCTTTAAGGAAGAACCAGAGGCGTTCCAAGTTCTAGCCAGCTCCCAAGTCCCCTTTGAATACAACAGTAAATACCATCGCATTCGTGGTCATGGCCCACTACTAGAACTCGACCCCTTCACCAAGGAATTGAAAAGCCTGCGCTACAACCTTGCGCGCCTTGGCGCGATTGTCAACATGGATCTTACTTATGAAGAGATGGAGAAGTTCTACCAGGCTGTGAGGTTGTTCGGGTCGATTCTTTGCCGCCCTGATAATGAGCTATGGTTCAAACTTACACCCGGTAAGGTCATTGTTCTGGATAATCGAAGAATGTTACACGGAAGATCAGCTCTGACTGGATATAGAAAGCTAATGGGATGTTACGTAAGTGTTGATGACTACTTGGGCAGTTGGAGGGCGAAAGCTGATCGCAACCGAAGACCATATAAACGATTAAATAATAAAAAAATCAATAACATGAACGATCTGAATGCAGAAACATGATCTAAATTATGCATGTAAATCGCATGATATTAGATATGCATATTAAATATATTAGTAATATAAGTTAGTTAGAAAAATAATAATGAAAGAGCCACGTGCTTAGAAAGGCGAGGAATGGACTATACGCAGGTTATAAACAAATTAACTAACACATCCATAAAGGCAATTTATCTCTTCTGATTCCAGCGCATGAATTTTGCKCGAAAAGTCTCACGAGGTTACTTTTCGAAACATTTGTACTGTATGAATAACAGCATTACATAAAAATTGAACTGTAATCATCGTGCGCAGTACTAGTGTTCACCACTTATGTTATTTCCGTCTCGTACCCAAAGCTCTTCGGTTTCCTTCCTATCAATTGCAACCGAGGAAGCTCTTTGTACAAGAATGTTGTTATTTTAATTGGGTTAGATTAGGATAGAGTGCAAAAAAATGGGGTCACGTGATTTACCAGAGGGTTTTTTTTTTTTTTTTTTACTTAAAAATTCTTTTATTTTTGTTGGTTTTTGATTATCTGGTTGTTTCTCGTACATCTTTAAATATCATAAGATGCCTTTACAATGAAACGTCTCCTGTTTGATCAGACTTCAGCACACTGGCTTGGGTTTCCCTGGTCCTCCCGCAATGTATTACGGGGAATGCGAAGTGGGGGCCCTGTGTTGTAAGAGCTTAGGTCCTTGGGCTTCCTGTGGTTAACTTCATCGGCATTTTCAAAATTGAAACATACTCGGCGGGAGAACTTAAACTCATCCTTATCAGGAATCATGAAGGCTTTTAATTTAATTTCCTTGATATCCCTGATCTTATTAATTACCTTTGTAAACTGTAACGAAGACGTTCCCGTGGAAGATCCTCTAGAGAAACCTAAAGCCAATGAACAAGAATCGTACTCAACTTCAGATCAAAATCAAAAGGAAGAGGTTCCGACGAGTTCTCCCGAGCAAAACACTGAACAAGTAAAAGATTACAAACTAGGATCTCTTTGTAACTACTGTAGCTACTGCAAGGTACGTAATTAAGATGGCTTTTTTGAAATGTCTTCAATTTTGTGCAATTTTATTTTCAAAGATCGGTCAGTGTAGTCACGTGGACTTCCGGTTTCACTTGCTGTTTATACGGATAAAAGAGTTCAAATGTAGACCACTCTGTATTGAATTTGGTATTCTCATTGTTTGTCTTTAGTTTTGTAAGCTTTGTGATAAAGATTGTCCGTGTGAAACCAGCAAAAAGAGACCTAACTGTCACTTGTGCAAGGTAGGACTTTGATCTTTGGAGGCTGCATTAATGGTTGTTTGTTGAAGGGGGTGGGGGGTGATCTTTGGAGGCTTTTTGTTTATTAGGGTTTTGGGGGAAGGGTTGATGGGATTGCTGAGTTTATTGCTGCAAAAATTATTACAGCAGTTGCACAGTTCAACAGGTTTGAACGGAAAGCAATGCAAAGGTGCCTCTGGCAGCTGCTATACATGTACAGTCCAAGCTTGGTTTGGGAGGAGGGAAGAAAAACAGGAAAAAATTAAGAAAAAAAAAGACTCAGAAGAACTATGCAACCAACTCAGCTCACATGGGTGATTGGGATCAAACCCTGGACCTCTGAGTTGACAGTTGAGTATTATACTGCCTGTGGGGGGGGGGGGGTACTTTCTTGAAAATTGGGTAGGGGGGCTTGACGGACGGTTTTGAAAATGGCCCTAAAAGGTATGCATAATTAATTACGGAGTATGGAGTCAGCCGGAGCCCCTAAAAGGTACGCGAGGTCTCATTTTTGACCCTAAAAGGTGTGTTGAGCCCCCCTACCCACTTTTCAAGAGAGTCTCCCCCCCCCGGATTGTACTGCCATCCTCACTCTGACAAACTTGGGAATGGTATATGCTTATTGGAGATACACCCATTCCCCATTCCCTAATGATTAAAATTTGAAGCTAAAGACTTTAATATCTGAGTGATAAAGTGTCTTTTTTGTGTGTGTGTTTATATCTAGTATTGCAAGTACTGTTTCCTGTGTAGCACTTGTGATGTTGCATGTACACCAGGTAAGTGCATTTGCCCTTATGAGGGTAAGAAGAGATAGCTAGCTAAGAACTAGTGTGAGCTGTGTCRGTGTTTCTAATGAAATAGTAATGATAAAAAGGTAAATTATACACTGACTACACAATTATATATTGACGTTTCGGACGCTAGTCCTTCGTCAGAGTAAAAGAGAAACCTGTTTACTCTGACGAAGGACTAGCTGACCGTCAGTATACATGGTGTATAATTTACCTTTTTATCATTACTTATGGGGATAGGTATGGATGCTCCAAATGAAAACTGGTTGTAACCCCCAGGGCTCATGTGAATGTGGTGGCAGCTTCAATTCAAGCCAATATTACTAATAACCAGCAAAAAAATAACTTTTTGTATTGCCAATTTTTTGTTGTTAAAATAACATTTTAAAGCTTCTTTTCATGTGAATGTGGTGGCAGCTTCTTTTCAAGCATACCTATACTTTTTTATTTTTTCATCATTTTGTGCAGGAGGGATGCTAGATACTATTAGTTCAGCTATTTACAGTTCCCTTCCATCTTTTACCAAGAAGGAGCAGCAGGAAGTAGATAAAGACATTGAAAAGGCAAAAGACTGGATTAAGGAATACCTTTAAATCATCCAGACTTCATCTTACTTATATATTCCTAATTCTATATCTTCTTGGCATTCATACATTGTAATGATTAAGAGCCCAAGCTTTTCAGCATGATGTTAATTTCTGGAAAACTACTTCCAGGTCCAAACTGACAAGCAGTTCTATTATAAAGGTTTTTCATTTTCATGAGAGTAAATGTTGTCTATAGTTCTAATATTGTTTCAAATGTAGGTTAATTCATTTTTCACTTCATTTAAGTGGGATTTTGTAAGCATGCAGTTGGACCTGGAAATACGTCACTAACAACTTAAAAGCTCTATTGACATGCTACTAACAGAATGTTTTGTATGACAAACTGCCATGCTTCTTTCAAATAACTTGGCCATGCACTCTTAATTCCGTACATTTTGTATGTTTAGCCAGGAATTATCAATAAAGACACAACAAATGATTCTTCTAAAACATAGACTTTTTTTAAAATATTTAGCAGTATGAGTTATAATTAATAATACATTAATTAAATTTTATATAATATATATATACATATAATATATATTCCTAAATACAAATTTTTTCATGTCTTGGAAGTTTGCATCACCTTTTTTTAGACCTCAACCTACTTACAAATGAAATATATCATGTTTGTAAACAGAGTAGCATCTTAGAGAGGAGCTCTTGACCCTTCTCCATCCTAACCTCTACTCCACTGACGTACTTCCAACACCCCACTACATGCCACTCCACTGACATACTACCAACACCCTAATGCATGACACTCCACTGACATACTACCAACACCCTACCGCATGACACTCCACTGACATCCTACCAACACCCTACCGCATGACACTCCACTGACATACTACCAACACCCTAC